GCCAACCAGAAGGATGGGGACAGTGGTGTCTGATATCAGGAGCACCAAGTAAGAACCATGTTTGGGGAGGATGGTGAGTTTGGAGAGAGGCACGCCGAGTTGGAGGGGGTGACAGAGCTTCCAAGTGGCCAAGTCAAAAGAATCTTGAGTCAAGCTGGATCTCTGGGTCTAGAGCTCCAGGGCAATGTCTGGAATGGACATGAGATGTGGAGCCACTGATGTACACTGACAATCGGGAAGAAGTGCCGAGGGCCTGCTGACTGTGCCTCCTCCCTTTTTAGAAGCCACCTCCTCCTGGCCCCTGCTGATCACCTCTTAGAGACACACTCTCTGAGAAAACCCAGGTGCAAAGGTTATGTGTGCATACCCACAGCATCTGTTAAGCATCTTAAACCATTTCCAACAAAGTGTGTGTTCTTGGTTCTGGAAGAATTCATGTAACAATGGAAGCTACCCGGCAACAACCAGAGTGCTTCAAGTCCCCATCAGCCTTGGTTCTTCAAGAGGCTGGAAAGTCATATTATTTTCCTATAAAATAATTCCCTGCACAAAGTTCCCAAGAAGCCAGACTATGAGGTGTGTGCCTCCTGCCTGGGCACAGAGCCTCATGAGGAGGGCATTGTCCTCTGTGCCCAAGTTCTACCCAGCGCTAAGCATACCTGTGAGTCTCCAGGCCCACAGGGTTCACCCACTCTCCTGGCATCTGCTGGAGGATGCCTTGAGAGGAAACATTTTACCTCAGTTGATAAAGAGGTTCCAAAATCCACCCACCTCATCCAGAGTGAAGGCTGGCTGGGCTTGAACTTGGCAACATCTGATGAATGACCCACAGAGGTCCTTTCCACCGCTGAAACTCGGGACTTAATTGTTGCCTTTGTCCTTTCTCTGAGGCAGACAGGGAAATGCTTGTCAACGCAATTTGCTCTATACTATGTACATCGACCTGCCTTCAAACAAACCTTTGAAGAATCTATTCCTTGCTCAGGGCATTGAGGATTCAGTGATGAGCTCAATCTGGCCATGCCCTCAATGGACTTACAGTCCAGTGGCCACCTTGACTAATGCTTCATTTTGTTTTCCACAAGTTCTTTTGAATCCTCCACCCTCTCTAAAGTAATTTGCAACCTAATCAGTTAATAAAAGTATTCTTTAAATGCTTTTAGCGTAACTAAAAACACATCCGCTCTCCAGTGTCCCCACAGTGGTGCCCAGAGACCTACAGAAGCTGTCAGTAGGGCTCATATTCACAAGGCTTTCTCTGCATCCAATTATTTCTTCTCCAAATAAACCAGGTCTGTAATATGTATAACCAGTACTCACCAGCAAGAAGGTAGATGTATTTAGAAAACCACCGCATAAAGAAAGCAAGTAAAAATATGTGCCCTTGAGTGTGTATTTTGAACCCAGGAAAATGCATAAGACAAATCAAATACAGAGGAAGAAACTGAAAGGCAGAGCCTATAAAGAATGAGGGGGATTGAGGGGCACAGCTAAAGGGCCATACTGGAGGCCCCAAAGACACCTGCAGTGGTGGGGGAGGCACAGACCTGAGCTTGTTTGAGAGGCTGAACTTCCTCCAGAGAAGTGGGGAGCAGTTTCAAGAAGTGGGAAGACAAGGACTCTGCGGCAGCTGAATTCTGGAGCATGTTGGAAAGAGTCAGGAAATGCCTGCCCCTGACTCTTTTTTTTTCTTTATTTTCCCCCTTATTTTATCTCTAGTCATTATATATGACAAACAGGAGGCTAGCAAACTATTTGTCTGTGCTCTACACTTGGACAGCTTAAAAATTAGGCAAAGCCTAAAATGATATCACATTGTAATAAGAATAACAGGACTTCTTGTGTTCGGTTGGGGCCATGCTGAAACCAGAAACAGTAGTCTTGAATATAGCTGGATCCTAAGGATAAGCCTACATGTAATTTGGAAAACATCTTGGTCCTTAAGCAGAGGCTACCCTGGGGTGCCTGGGTGAGAACTTTTCAACAGGCCCAACCTTCTGATAGAACACTTCAAAAAGGTCCACAAGCTGGCACCAAGGGCCAGCCCAAGGGTATTCCCTGTCAGTGTGCTTACCCGAGCCCCACTGACTGGCTTCACCGAATCGGACACTGACTATGAGTCAGGGATCTTTCCCAAGGCCATGTGCATGAGGTTACTGTTTGATTAAAAAAAATTTTGGAGCCTGACAGTCCTCAAATAGGATCCCAGATACATCATTAACAGCTTCCTGACCTTGGGTAAGTGATTTAACCTCTGGAGACTCTGTTTTCCCATCTGCAAAATGAGGATGATGGTAACTGCCATACAGGGCTGTTGATGAGGACTAGGAAGGTAACAAATGCACTGACAAGTGCCTGGCACATAGTAGGTGATTAAGAAATATTAGCTGGCCGGGCACGGTGGCTCATGCCTGTAATCCCAGCATTTTGGGAGGCCGAGAGCAGATCACTTGAGGTTGGGAGTTCGGGGCCAGCCTGGCCAACATAGTGAAACCCCACCCTACTAAAAACATAAAAATTGGCAGGGCAAGATGGCACACGCCTGTAGTCCCAGCTACTCAGGAGGCTGAGGCAGGAGAACCCCTTGAGCCTGGGAGGCAGAGGTTACAGTAAGCCAAGATCACACCGCTACACACTAGCGTTGGTGACAGAACAAGACTCTAGTCTCAAAAAACAAAAATATTAGCTGTTGTTCCTTCCCTCATAGAAAAGGAAGCCAAGAAAGGAGGAAACTGGTGCTCCCTCGAAGCCCCTCACATTTGGAGGATGACATACTCAGCTCAGAGATACTCGCACCATCCATGTGTGCTGCCAGGCTGGCCCAGGGTGCACTGCTGGCCACAGGGAGACACCACCATCCTGTCAGGTGAAGCCACTCCAGTGTGCCTCCAACAGGTATACCCCACATCTGACTCCTCCTGATGACACAGAGCCCTGGGTTCCAGCTGCCCCAGTAATGCCAATGTGCCTACCAGTATGGAATGCCCTATGGGCACCGTATACTAGTTAGTCTGAAGTTAACTCCAGCCCTGAAGAATAAGTCAAGAGGGACAGAAAAGGGGCCCATGAGGGTGGGTGGGGATTCGGGGAAAGAAAAGAAAACAGGTTAGGAATGTAAAAGCAGAGCACTTCTTTTGAAGACTGGCAACAGAGAATTACTGGCTATCCAATTTGAAGGATTCATCAGAAAAGTAAAACCAGCATCAGACATTTGACTTCAGGGTCACATGGACTGCATTGTTCCTTTGGAACAAAGAAAACTGAACTGTGAATAACCATAGAGAAGTCAGCAAACCCCAGAGAATCCAAACTTGTCAAGGATCAAGGCAGCCTCGCACAGGCTCTGAAAACAGGAGGCAGCGGTCATGTCCCTTCTAATTACCAACACAACCACCTGCACCCCACGGTAATGGACAGTTACTGCACGTCCCCAGCTGGCCTCTGTGGACATGTAGCTAATAAGATGTGAATTCATGGAGGAAAATCTATAAAAAGTGGACTTTGCAAGTAGTTACAATCTGATACTATCTGCGCAATTATTAAAATAAGCCACTCAAGACTATTTCAGCCATATGAGCAAAGAACTAATGAGGAAACAGACATCATCAGAGAATGAATTACCTACATAATAAACCTGCATCTTCCACAATGAAGCCATTAGAAATTGATCAGCTGATTTAGAAACAGCTGAAGGCCATAGCCCTGATCAAAGTTTGCACCAGAAACACATTCTGAGTGAGCTGTCAGTGAATATAGCACACCGGAGTCACACAGGCCACCCTGGTCAGTGCTCCTGAAAGGACATGTGGGCAGAGGGGATTCTTCAGGAAAGCTAGGGTGTGTGACACCCATCTAATGCCTGCAGCATGCAGGAGGCCAGGGCCAGACAGGGTACAGTGATGAAGAGCAGGCCAGGCCACCATGATCCCTGGTGTTGCCATTCCTCCCTGAGGCCAAACCGGTGGGATGTCAGTCATGAGAGAGACTTCCTGTTTATCTCCTTTACATGGGTACACTTACCTCTACACGTACTGGTTGTACACATGAACATACTTACACACACACAAACACACATGCACATACAACTCACACACCACTCACATACACTCATATACAGATATATGCACACTTTCATACATACACACCCAAACATATACATGCACAAACTCACACATACATTCATGCACACACATACATATACACTCACATGCACACATAAAATTTACATGCACTCCCCTGTACATACACTCAGCACATACAGTTCACACATAAAGACAGAAAAATCTCACAAACACACTTGTACATGCACACCTACACACATACACTCATATGCATATACTTACACATGCACATACACACACAAATACATACACTTGCACATACATGCACATACCTGTCACACACTCAGACACATCCATATGCATATATACACACCTTCACACAGGCACATCCACACACATGCATGTTCACACACACACACACACACAAACTCATACACAAACACAGATACACCATAAACACAGACATACACAAACAACTTGATTCACCCTCACACACCTGTGCACACCCTGCATACACATTCTTGCTCACACTCATGTGCACCCTTACTATCCTGCATGAAATTCAGCCTTTTTCCCCTGCTTATTCCTTTGCACCACCCCACTGCATCCCAATTCCTGACCTGCCCTAATTGCTCTAGCCCCTGGCTGCCACTGGCTGCCTCACCCCACCCACTGCCTGCCTCACCTCACCCACTGCCCTCTGACTTTTGACTTCCTCATGGACCCCAGTCAGAATTTCTCCTGTGGTTCCCACCTGCCAGGTGAGCACCCTGCTAGGTCAAGTTCAACTCTTTGAGCTCCTGCCTGAGCTAGGTGGAGCACCAGGATTCACGACGGACCCTCAGGTTGGAACTGAACCCAAAAGGATCACGCTGACCTTTCCCCAAAGGGCTAGAGGCTCAGTCCAGGCCATGCTCGTCACATTTCTAGGGCCCTTACCTCATTCACAAAGACCCAGTGGCTGTCCTTGGAAGCCAGATTGGTCTCCACGGCCTGCAGAGAGAAAAAGAACCAACATGAACGGAAGCAAGACAGAAGCTGGCAGACACAGGATGATTGCCGAGACAGAGTTTTATAAACATTGTTCTTGGAGAATATTTTCCTCACAAAACATGCCATCTCCCTGGGGCCTGCTCTGGCTGCCTTAGCTACAAGAAGCTTCATCTGAACACAGACATCTGATTTCCTGCTCTCCCTCCACGCTCTCCTGCACCAGCCCAGAGCAAAATTAGACGCTCCGGTTCCCACTGGCAGCACAGGGCCACAGGGACAGGCACAGCCTTCCTTCCCTAGGAATGCCTGCAAACACCTTTCTGCAGGGGAGCTTTGGGGATGAGTGTTACCATTAATCCAGGTTACAGAATCAGGAAACTGAAAAGAGGGATTTATGGGGGCTTGTCTAGTCCAGCCGTACTGAGTGGCATTCAGGAAGATGGCAGGTCACAGCAGCTCGGGGGCTCCAAGCTGCCTTCAGTTCTTTAGGATCTGTAGAACAAAGCTCTTTCCAGCTCCTGGGCTGTAACCCCATCCCATAACTCTCTATTACAGTGTTTTGATCTGTTTCTTTATGGCACTTGCCAACCTTGTGCTTGAATGGCTATCAGTTTATTTATTTCTTATTGTCTGTCTACTCTGCCAGAACAGGGGCTCCATTATGTCAAAGGCCACATCTCGTAGGTCACAGCTGTGTCCCAATAGCTGTAACCAGCACACAGCAGGTATTCAGTAAACATTGTTGATTATGCAAATGAAGTGGAAGGCTGAGGCAGACAGGACCCAGTTAATTATTTTGTTTCCTGTATGTGTTTATGAGTGCTTTCCCCTCCTTCAATTGGAAAGCCAACAGATTGGAAGAATTGGAAGAGACTGATGGTTTCCAAGCATGTCCCGTATGAATACATCCCGTGAGCAGGTGCTAAGTACTTGCTGAGCCTGGGCACTGTGCCAGGCAGACTATGAACGTGGACAAGAGCTATCAGATTGGAGTCCTGCTTTTTTTGTTTGTAATGTAATTTTATTATTCCTTTTATTGAAAAAAAAAAGGAGAAAAATAAAAATGCTCAGCATCCCAACATCTTGTCCCATTTAAAAAAGTATGCTGCCTTTGTGAAAATCCCCACTTTATTCATTCAAATTTATCCTCTAAATGTTGTTTGAAGTGTCCCCTTCTAGAAGATTTTACAGTTACCTCTGCAAGTAAATAGCTACAGACAGATATCAAACAAGTATTTTCATTAAAATCAGACCATGAAATACACATTGAGTTAAGACTTTAGTTTCTGATTTATCAGTGCAACATGAATATCTTTCCTAATCAGTACATAGAGATCTGACTCACTCCCAACAAATGAGGCATGGAGGTGTCAGGGCCTGTGCCGACAACCCCACCAGTAGCCCTAGGTCTGCAAATTGTCATGCACAGGGTCCTGTTAGACCCTCACTACATTAGAATGGACCTATTTGGTGGAGAACATACAAGCATGTGCTAATAGAGCCATGAAAGTACCCAGGTGACGCTAGCACCCCAATCCTTTACAGACAACACCCCACCGGACACCAAGGGCAGCTCAGGTGCCTTTCCCGGGCCATGTCTCCAGCCATGTGTGAGGGCATCAGCCCTGGCATCTGAATCGGAAGTGGACTGCCTCTACCCAGCCGTCATTTAACCACTCTGGTCTCTGTTTGTTCATTTGTAAATTGCAGAATACACTCGCCCCTTCCTGTCTGCCAAAGCATGTAGTCTCAGAAAGAGAGAAACATAGAGAATGGCGTCCATACTCATCAAGCCTTTCCCAGGAAGCAGTGAAAGGAAAGTGGCCGCTTTCTCCTTTTGGGGTGTCCAGCCTTGCTCGCCGACTTGCTCACATTCTAGCTTGCATCCAGTGAGTCTCTTGATCCCCACAAGCCTTCCATGCTCTTCCTGAGCTATGGCCCCATGAATCTTCCCTTCCCCAAGATAATGACTTATGTCTAAAAATGGCTCGGCCACTCCTCCCCAACCTCGGGAAAAAGGCTCTAGGTGCCCTCTCTTGCACTGGAAAGAAAGGAGGCTCCAAGAGATACTAAGCCGTGTACCTGGCTACACTACAAGGCCATATCCTCAAGATACTTTCCGCCCTTTCTACAAACTCAGTTAACCGGGCTCTCCCCAGAGAAGCTGCAAGGGCTAATGAGCCAAAGCTCAAAGGAGCCGCCAGTCAGGGTAGAAAAATGAGGGCACTTCAGGGTGGAGTCTCAGCCACCCAGTCCAGAGCCTCTGTCCTCTCAACACACAGACTCTCAGGGGGGTCTTCAAAAGCCTGGAAGCACTGGTGAAGAGATGGAGGGAGAAGTGGAGATGGGGTGGGCTGAGAATGCTCTGAGCAAATTGCTGGGCTCTAGCCACCTTGATTCCCAACATTTTCTTAACACTCATGTGGAGGACACTGGCAATGCTCTTGCCAAATGTGCACAGATGCAAATCTGGGAGGATGGCATAACATCTCAGAGGCTAGAACGCTGAACTGAATCTAAAGACGTGGTTTAGCAAGGCTGATCTCAAAGTCCTAAACTCAGTTTCCAGAAGCAGAAGGGCAAATGGAGAAATGAAGTTTGAAAGCAAAACCCTTGAGGAAAAACTAAAGGGGATTGCCTCCACCCAACTGTCATTTAACCGGTCTGGTCTTGTTTGTTCATTTGTAAAATGTAGATAACACTTGCCCCTGCCTGTCTGCCAAGGTATGTAAAAGCACATCGCTGGGCTCTAGCTCACCTCTAGCTCAACTCATGGAAAGGAGGGTGTGGGAGGAGTCTGTTCCACCCCTTGAGGGGTTGACCTAACCAGATCACCCCACTTGATGAAGGATAATGCACACTATAGGCCAGCCATGGAGAGGGACAGTTAAAGTGATCAGGGATGCTTAGAGGTGGGACAGTATAGGTGTCTTTAAATTGTTATGTGCAGGAGAGACTGAAATTGCTCTGTGCATCCTCTGAGTGTTGACTTAGAGCCAATGGCTTCCATAATCAGGGAGGCAGATATCAACTGAATATAGGAGACAACTTTCTGACTTTCCAAGTCATTCAAGATGAAATGGGTGCCTCAGGAGTAACAAGGTCCCATCCCAGGAAGTGCCTGAACAGGTAAGCAGTACCCTATTTACAGTGACATGTATCTAAGGTTGACCATTTGTGAGAGGTAAAGCTTTATCATGCACTGACATTCTTCAGCAATGACTCTCCAGTCTGACTGCATTTAAGAATTTCCTATGGAGGTTTAAAAAAAGAGGACCCCCCAGGCTCCACTGCTAGGGATTGTAATTCACTGGTAATTGTGATGTGCCTGAGATCTTGTGTTGTTTCAGAGCTCCAACCCTGCCTCTTGGCTTCAGGGGCTGACAGCCCTGCTTCAGAATATGTAGTTCTAGGAGGCTGAGGCAGGGGAATTGCTTGAACCCAGGAGGTGGAGGTTGTGGTGAGCCGAGATTGCGCCATTGCACTCCAGCCTGGGTAACAAGAGCGAAACTCCGTCTCCAAAAAAAAAAAAAAAAAAAAAAAAAGAATATGTAGTTCTGTGAATCTGAAGGTCTGGGTATACCTGTGCAGGTGAGAGGTTCTCTGCTTGTCCTGGAAGAAGCCATCACAGCAAACAACCTGACTGACAAGCAGGTGCCTTGGCCACCCTAAGACGTACTTCTACATAGTATAGGACTTATACGGGGAAGATATTGATGGAGACAATTGATCAGAAAACCCCACAGGACAACTGGCCAACGTTTCTGTCCTACTTTTCCTCACCATTTAAGCATCAGCTAATTTGTTAAGCCTCTTTTCTCCACATGGAGATAAATAGGGCTTTTCTGCAGCCTTTTCCAGAGGGTGCAACTCACACAGAGGCTGAGATAGATGGAGAGAAGGAGAAGCTACAGCAGATTTAGCAGGAACACTGCCTGCCCCCCATCACCCCATGCCACTCCAGCAATTACTGGAGGGCTGCCAGCTCTGTGGGAAGAGCCCTAAATGCTCACACCCCAGTAGGCAGTGTCCCTCCCAGCACCACTAATTCCCCTTCTAAGTGCTGCGCTTTCTCTTTTCCCCTCCCGCTACATCTGCAGCAGGTGGAGGCGAGTCCTCCCTTTCGTCTGCAGAGTGAGTACACTACGGAGAGTTCCAGCAGGCAGGCAGAGTGCACTCGAATCCCAGTTCTGCCGCTTCCTGGCTGAGTGCTCCTGGGTGAGACTTCTCACCTCTCTGAGCCGAGGTTTCCACGCCCACAAGGCATTTGAATACCAACAGTGCTACAGGAGGTTCTGCCCACAGTCCATGTGAATCTTGTTAGCATTTTTCATTACACTGACTCAGCATGTGTGTTCACGCATTTCTTCATTCAACAGACAGGGCCCACCCAACCCCAACAGGCCATCCTGATTCTCCTTGGTAGAGGAGTGAAACAGGAGCCTCGGCCCTGCCATCATGGAGGCACCAGTGGTAAAAAGACCCACAATAAATACAGCTTTGCAAAGTGATGAGCACTGCTGCCTCCATGTGCTCCCCTTCAAGGCAGCAGGATATGGTGCTTCCCTCCCATCTTGGCCACAGTGTGGGTCGAGCTGCATAATGCTGTGACCATCAGCAGAGAAGTGTTGACCCAGCCAGACAGTCAAAGTACAGCCCATGTATCCTGTAGGTGGGGAGGGGAAGGGAGCTGGCCTCTTCCTCAAGGTGGGCTCCCAGCAGGTGGGGTAGCTGGTTCCCTGCAGTCTGCAGTTGGACTCCTGTCCTCAAGCTAGACACTGTGTCTGGGAGACACAAACCTGGTGGGAGCTGGGAACTAAGGCCCAATAAGCCCAAAGGAATTGCTGCGGTGGCCAGAGGCCTGCAGTCCTCTAAGTTGCTGTGAATCCTAGGCCTGTCTTGGATTGCCAAACCACTGGGCTTGTCTGCCTGGCTCCTGTGGCCATCATACACTGGCAAACGCAAAACTTCAGAAGAGTTAAGGATATGAGAAGTTGCAA